GTGCAAATGCGTGCAAAGGCTGCTAACGCTATACTCTGGCGATTATGCTCTTGATGAAGACACTCGTCAACAAAGGGCTTGCGCAAACATACATGAGACACTTGCAACAACTTGCATGCGGATTGACTGTATGACCATATTTGCGATGGGCATCATTGATGGCATCGCAGTTGATGCAGAGCTTCTTCGAATATCTCAGTATGTGGCATCTACGTCACCATCTCTTCTTGTTCTGGTTAATCTTGATGTGATTTCTTTGTATGCATGTACAAATAATCCAATGACAGAGCCTGTCAAGCGGGCAATCACGACGATTACTGCATTCATTAAATCCTTGCATCAAGTGTGTTTGACTTTTATTGTCAGTCACTCTACCAACATCGATCAAGGCGACATTCAAATCTGTGTTGATGGTAAGGTTGAGTTTGAGTCTCTTGACAAAGAAAATCAGCAGAGCGTCCTGCTCAATTTAATACTGAACTCAACTACCAGGAGACACATGATCTCAATCGACTTGTTCCAGCCCGTCAGTGCGAGTAATTTTGCTGGAGATAAGAGTCGAGCCAGATCGATATACCTTTCGATGCTCAAGGGAATTGTCAAGCAATTTGAGCATAGGGTCTCCTTTCGCAGGCTCTTTTGGACGCTTGACAATACACCCATCGAAACAGCCCAATTTTGGGAAAGTTTTGGCCTGACAGAGAGTGCTAATGCTGTTTCAAAGGCAACAGGCGTAGCTACTCGATGGCATGATGTTGGTGGTTTGAAAGGCGTCAAGCAGGTCCTCAGGGAGGTCTTGGAATGGCCTACTTCAGTCTCCGCCGCCAACTCATGCATGGGCGTGGCTCTTACCCGTGGTATTTTGCTTTATGGCCCGCCGGGATGTTCAAAAACCATGCTCGCGCGGGCAGTAGCCACTGAGTCCGGCAGGGAGTTTCTAGATGTCCAAGGCCCTGCACTTCTAAGCAAGTGGCTCGGTGAGTCTGAACGGGCTGTTAGAGATTTGTTTCAGAAAGCGCGGGCAGTCGCACCTTCCGTCGTTTTCTTCGATGAAATTGACGCTCTAACAATGAGGCGAGCTAGCGAATCTGGTGCAAACGTGGAAAGTGCTGCGACTAATCGCGTTTTAGCGCAGCTGCTCACCGAATTTGATGGCGTCCACGCTCAGGCAGAAATTCTCATCGTTGCAGCAACAAATCGGCCTGATCTCATAGATCCAGCACTCCTCAGGCCGGGTAGATTTGATCATCTGATTTATGTCCCACCGCCTGATCCGGCTTGTTGTGGCGAAATCTTGCAGCTTGCGTTGATGAATGCTCCCGTTGATCCGCATTTGGATGGGTCGAGTCTGCATACAATTGCCTTGAAGGCAAGCTTGGCCATGTATTCGGGAGCAGAGCTCATTGCTATAGCTAGGCGTGCCGCATTGCTAGCCCTCGAAGAGTGTGCTGAGTTCATATGCGAATGTCACCTTGAGAGGGCTTTACTGCACACCCGACCGACCGCAACCCCAGCCATGATATCCTTCTACGAGAAGTGGGCTTCATTCTCGTTGAAGTTGGGCCAGCAATGAAGCTGCTGAGGTCTTGTTCTGGCGGGATTGTCCCTAAAAACAACAAAAGCAAAACGAGTTTGGTGACCGAGGGGCAACACCGCTCAAGCCGGGGCGTGGATTGGGCGTAAGTCGGGCCTAGCCGGACGAGCATTGGCCCCAAAGCGTGCCAGGTTTAGGGAGTAAAGCCGCCTAAGTAGGGTCCTATGTCAGGGGGAGTATCGCCCGCGCGCAACTTGATGTTAATGGGACCGGTAGGGAGAAATACCCTAAACTAGGGTAATAAGGAACGTTCAAGTTGATGTCAACGTTACGGGGAAGTGCAGTGCCATCTCCATAGTGTGACGTCGCGATAAAGAGGGAGCAGGGTAATGTAGATTATGGGGATGATAGTGGATCACGAAAGTACTCAACTCAGATAGGTCCATTTTTCAAGTTCACTATACTGACTACGAGGAATTCCCTTTTCAACATCCTTGGCTGCGCCGCGGCCGCTGCCGGGGACGCCGGGGCGGACTCCTCCTCGGAGGATTAGCCCCCCCCCCCTCCAACTGCCGCTGCGTTGGGCGCCGCGGCCGGGCCCGTCCCGTCCGCGGCTGTGCCCGGCGCCAGGGCATTAGACCCTCCTGTCGGCGGCACGCCCGCCGCCTGATCCCCGGCCATTTATCCACTCTTTCCCCCCAAAGAAGACTTTCCTGGGGTGCGCTCAGGCGCACAATAATAGAAGAGGATGTCAGCGACAGACGATCACTCGTACTCGAGTACGAGATATATCTTCTGTCTCTTTCCTCTGTATCCTGAATATCCTGGCTGATATATCCTGGCGGCTATATCACCTGCACTTAAATTTTGCTCTGTAGAATGGGCCCAAGCCCGTAGGCGTAAGCTTAATCCATGACATTACGACCTTCTTAGAATGTCTTCCTGGTTTCCTGAGAGTGTAGGCTGGTTTCTGGCCTGTGCTTGGTTTTGCAGCGTCGCTTCGGGCGCACCAATAGTATTGAGCCATACGTTTGCCGCTATCGGCTTCATCCTAATCGCTTCAGATGAGCGCAGGGCCAGTAGCAAATCATTCGAGCAGTTTGGCAAGGAGCAATGCGATAAACTCAATAGAAGTGATATGAGGAGTCAGACGCATCCGAGAATGATAGCGGATCTTATTACGCGGGCAACCTCTGGCGAGGATGCGGTGAAGGAGATGCTCCCTGAGTGTGAAACCCTGCTTGCACGAGACCTTGGGCAATTGCTTGACACCATTATGGAGATGTATGTGCTGCCATGGTATGGTAAAATTAGCGAAGATGCAAACTTTCCGAATGAGCTCCGCGCCGTACTCGCTCGAGCGCTGGGAGATGTATGTTCGCGCATGCTGGACCAAGTGAATCTTGTGTCTCTCACGTTGGATGGCTTTCTGGACGCACTGACCCGCCAAATCAAAGCGCATGGCGTGATGCGGGCTAGCTGTGAGTATGCTGGGATAGATCCTAAGACCGACACAGTGGCTTCGCGGTTACAGCATCTGGAGGCTATCAAACGGCGAAATGACGCCACAACCCGAAAGCTCGGGAAGCTCGGGAAACTCCACCCAGCTGTTGTTTGCGGAGACGAAGAAACTTCTGCCGGAAACAATGTGGCCTCCTGTGAGTTGCGATATCTCACCCAGCTCTCTGGGCGCCTG